ACATATTGAGAAAGACAAAATATATTATTATATACACATAAACTTGATGAGAGGGAGAAAGCCATAGAAAGAGAGAAATTTGCACTCTAGATTACTGCTAGCTGAAGCCTCTAGAGTCCAGTGCCATTCATACTCCTGTCTTTAACCTTACAACTGTACTGTCCATATAAAAGCTTCATTCTCACCTACATTCATTTTCCTATTGCTATGTAAAATATTACCAGAAACGTCTTAGCTTAAAACAATACAAAATTTATCAACTCACGGTTTTCTTGCTTGAAAGCCTGGACACGAATTAGCTGGGTCCTCTATTCAGGATATCTCTAGGATGACCTCAAGGTACTAGCAGGGGCCTGCAGTCACACCTTCAACTCCAGGGTCCTCTTCCAAACTCACTAGTTTCTTGCAGTTATATGATCAATAACCTTATTCTGCTGTTCGCCGTTTGCTAGGGACTATACTCAGCTGCTAGAACCAGCCTTCAGGTCTTTGTCCTACAGCCTCTTGCTTAGAATCTCTCACCACACAGAAACTTACTTCTTCCAGGACAGCAGGAGAATTTCTCTTGAGCTTCAAATCTTTCTGATCTCTATTAAGAGCTCACCTGAGTAGTCAGTTTCACCCAGGTTTATCTCCTTATGATTAAGTCAAAGTGAAATGATCAGGAACCTTAACTACACCTGCAAAATCCCTTCTGCCATATAATATAACATAATCACCAGAGTAATATTCCATCATATTCACTAGTCCTGCTCATACTCGAGGAGAAGGGGTTATGCAGTGGAAGGAGGCAATTTTAGGGACCACCTTAGAATTCTGTCTACCACAGCACCTTGTCTCAAGCTTACACAGAAGCGTTGCACTCTTGTTTAAAAAAAAAAAAAATGAGTTACTAAATAGCCATGAGTACTTTCTTAACTCCTTTCATTTGCCACAACTGCTTTGACCTCTTAGCACTGTCTTATCACATTATCTGATTGGTCCAGTGCTATCTACATTCAGTGCCTGTCACTATTTTTTGAACTCCGGAGTTGGAGTCTTTTTCCTGCCACTTAAGTATAATAAATAGTTGTCACAAATGAAATTTGCACAAAGCTGACTGTGTGATGTCAATAACAAGTATGGTTTTTGTAACAGTATTGTAGGTTGATTCCTGAAATCTTAAATTTATCATTAGTGCACTCTATTCAGAGGGACTTAACTCTCTTGATATACATAGAAAATTTAAACTTCAAAGCATTTTAGAAAATGACAGGCATCTGAAAGTCCCATTTTTATTCCAATGAAAATACTTTTTACCAAGAAGTTAGAATTTCCCACAAAATGTAAAGTGACAAAAAAGGTAAAAAGTGCTATTATTCTCAGTAAGACAACTCGTAAGCATGTTGATTTAGGAAACTCTTAGAGCATTTACTAGAGCATTGTAAGGTCAATTCAGTTTCCACAATGAAAAGAAAATGCTTTGAGGAGTTTTCTGGGGTTTCTTTCAGCTTGTTTGCTTCTTTGCCTATACAAATAGTTTATGCCATTTTAAAGGGCCAACTATAAGAAATATTTATGTTTAGAGAAGAAGTCCATCTGTAGAATTTGAATTTAATTTTAAAGTTAGGTAAACTATCCTATAAACAAAATCAGTGATTTCTCAAGGTACTTTTTGAAAATGAAAACAAATCAGTTCTGGTTTTATCATTGGTTGCTTGAACACTGAAGCACAATGCATTGCGATTTTAAAGAGCAGTTGTATTATTTTAGATTTTATAAATCATAGTACAATAATTCACGGTTTAGAAAAGAACTATTGAGCTATGTAGCTATTTTTTTTAAGAGTTGCAGTTGAAACAAACAATCAACTCACGTCATGCATGGAAGAAAATTCTCCAAACTATTCTCCTTAAACAAATCTTCACTCATCAGATAAATGACATTTGTTTAAAGAGAAATATTTCATACTTCCCCAATTCTTACTAATGAGTCTCTCATTCACAATTTTAAAAATTTCTTTTGTCAACTAAATGCCTATAAATGGACTGACTTATTATAGTATGTGGATTTACTGGATATATTCAACCAAACGCCAATATTTTATTCCATCTGATTTTCAACACAGCATTTTATACTTATAGAAGAATGCTCCTGTAGATATCATTTGTGGATGGATAATGGTTGATTGATATGATACAAATGTAATCCTAACTTGGAGGTTTAACGTGCTAAGCAATCATTTCTAGACACCTTTTTGTTGTTGCAAGGGTGATTTCTGAAAAACACGTAATAAGTTTATTGGGGTCATTTTATAAAAATAATAATTTCAAAAAACTAGAGAGAAGGTAGAATTAGTAATAGAAAAGAAAGTTCATTTTTCAACATACTTGCTCTTTTTGTTTTATATTATTTTTTAAATTAAAGTGACGTTAACTTTAGCTCCTGGTATATCTCCTTTGTTCCTGTTGTATGAAAAAAGTTCTACATGGTATAATTTGAGAAGCATTGAGCACTTTCAACTGAGCTTACCTTGTTTCCTGTTAACTAAGACCACAAGACTTTAGTTTAAAGGCCATGACAACCACCATTTAAAGGCAGGCTTTAACTGGCAGGGTTAACATATAAAGCCATCATTATATACGATTGCTTCTAAAAGATCAGTTGTGCTTTTCTAATGGGTCCACAGCAGAATAGGAGTTAGAGAAGTTGAGTTTGAAGTGGGTAGGGAAAAGATAAGTCATTTCTCCAAACACCCCGGCCATAATAATCATCCAGTGAATATCTGTTAAAATGAACCAACTTGAACAGAGAGCACAAGACTTTAAGGCCAGGACACTGTCAGGGTAGAATGCTTGATAGCTGAACCTCAAGGGAATGTTTTAGGCCTAGGAGAAAGGAGATGAACAGTTAGCAGAAACTGCAAAAACTGTAACCCATTTTTACAGTTTTGCAGTTTCTGCTAACTGTTCATCTCCTTTCTCCTAGGCCTAAAACAGTTTATGCTACCTTACCCATGTCTGAATATTTAAAAGTAAGTAAGTGTGAGGGAATAGGAGATGTTGAAGAAGTTTTTCATATATCTAGGTAGCTTGTAAGTGTAATTTTCACGTCATTTAAGTAAAGCAGAATAACAGGACTTCCTTAGTTTGTATCTTAAATAACAGGGTACAATGTGGCTATGATGGAAAATATAGCCTTTGGTTAGCAACTTGAACCATCAATAGCAAGTTTAAGACCAAGCCAATTTTGTACTTTTAAGATTTACAATATTACTTCCAAACTGGCCAGAATTTGAATACAAACCTGTAATAAGGTCCTTGTGCCAGAATGTATCTTTAACTTCACTTTCTGGTCAGGTGATCCAAGATTATGTAGATTCCAAAGTTTAATTTCATACATATAACTATTATTATTTAATTTTCCCCAACAGTGTACCAATAAGTTCCTGTCAGTGAACTGGCAAAATCGTGAATTTTCTTAATTTGTTGTGGGGTTTTTTTGTGAGGAGTATTTTTTGCTTCTCAAAAATTTTTCAATTCAGCTCTGTTTCTAAAAGCTCTGCATCTTACTTTTTGTGGGAGAGAAGCAGCTTGTTTACACGATGCAATAAGATCTGGGGATGTGTAACATGGGAAACTGAGTGATGGTTTTAATATTTCCACCAGCAGTTTTCAGAGGGTAGTATAGTGCCACTGTGTTTAATCAGAGGAATTTATCAAAGTGGCTCAGGATACAAATGCAGAGATGCTGCACATGAGGTACTATTGCCTGTTGGTATCCAGGATATCCCAGAGTTCAAAGGGAAGGTCCAGCAGAAGAGCTTCCCAGGAGAACCAGGGACTTTGGAATAATATCTCAAGTATTCCTACCCCCTACTTCAGTGACTGATCATATTTCCTTGATTCAAGACACCAGTTTTCACAATTATGAATTCCAAAGTCAGGAAGCAATTTTAATCAAGGTATACTTTTAATATGTCAATATTTCTTTTTTTTCCCTTTTAAAAACGTACTATTTAATCAATGGTCATTCTTAAACAATGAGTGGTCTTTTCAAATTAAGAAAATGAGCAATGTATTTCAATCGAAAATAGAAGGCCAAACCTAGTACAAGATTAAACCTTCTGTTTTTACTGGTCCTTAATGTGGATCAGTCTCTACCCTGATATTGTAAAACTTTATCAAAGGGGGAAATACAGAAAAAAAAAGCTGCATTACGATACAATAATTTTAGCTATTAGACATATTAGACACTAAATCTATGTTTAAAAGCATGTGGAATGCTTCTCCAGACTAAATTTAGTATCCTTGCTGGGGAGAGAATTTACTTGTTATTTATAAGATTACTCTGTGTGTGCGTGTGTGTGTGTGTCCCCGTCCGTGTGGTTTCTAAGTAATTCAAAACACATTAGAGACCTTCAGTCCATACAATATAACAATTACTCTTTTCATGAAAGATAAATGATTATATGTGGTTAAGAGTGATGATAGCAACAGGATTTTTGTTCATTGAAAATTTGTAACTTGACCTGCTTTGACACATTAAGGAGAGGTTTCCGATCTAAACTTTTTAAACTCACGAATCCATCAGATGTTCCTAACTAGGACTGTAATTGGGTAGTTTTGCAATAGAAGAATATAAAGATTTTCTGGAACATCTGGCTCATTTTATAGACGAGAAAAATTATGTCCAAAGAAGAGAGTCATTTACTTTGCCCATAGTTGTCTAATCAGTGATAGAACCATGAGGAGATCCCAGTACTTCTGTTTTCTAATACAATGCTTTTCAGTGGAGGATAAAAGACTATCTCCCTCCCAAAACATGGTAGAATACAGTGGTTCTTGGCAGATTTGCCAGAACCTGCAAATTGAGCTCAGGTCTCGGAGGAGTTTTACGAAAGGGGAGCTCAATTCTACAATACTTCAAATTGTTCTCTGCACTCCTCTGGCCACTGTGCATAGATAAAATGTCTATATGGTCTTTGCGGCAGATTTGAAAACACTGACATTGAAAAATTATACTTTAAGCAGTCAAGGAAGTTTTAATAACTTAGAATCATATGTCATTTTAAGAATTGTAAGAGTCCTATTCAATAATTTTATTTCATTCTCTAAGTTTAGTGAGGGGGGAAGATGATGTTTAAGAAAGTAAAATGGCCTGTCACATGCTGGTTAGTGCAGGGTCAGGACTAGAACACCAATGTTCCAACTGTCAGTCCACTGTTCTTTCATGACATTGCACAGCTACATCACGAATTATGTCCAAAAAATGGAAAGATGCAAAGATTACACAAACTAATGTAGCTTTCTTATGAGAGATTTCTCAGGCAACATGATGACATAGGTGACCTTTTTCTTCAGGGCTATCTAATTCTCTCTCATCTCACCCCATCAATGGTCAATGTCCTCCCTCAGGGCCTTGCCCTTGTTGCCCTACAAAAAAAAAAGGGGGCTCCTTGATTTACAATGAGGTTACACTCTGTAAATCCATAGTAAGTTGAAAATACCCTAAGTTGAAAATGCATTTAATACATGTAACCTACCATAGCTTAGCCTTGCCTACCTTAAACGTACTCAGAACACTTTCATTATCCTACACTTGGCCAAAATCACCTAATGCAAAGCCTATTTTATAACAAAGTGTCAAATAGGTCATATAAGAGTATTGTACTGCATATTGCTAGCCTGGAAAAAGATCAAAAATCAAAATTCTAAGTATTGTTTCTACTAAATGCACATTGCTTTTGACCATGGTAAAGTCTAAAACTTCTAAGTTGAACCATCCAAGGTCGGGGACCCTCTGTATGACCTTGGGAAGGCTTTTACAAGCTATCTCATTTTTATTCTTCATAGCAACCCTATTAGGTAGTCATTAGTATTACTATAATAAATTTAGGAATGTAAAAGTGAAAGGTGCCTAAGGATTGAGTTACTTCATTACAGGTATACAGTTTATAAATGGCAAGCACAGGTTCAATCCCACAACTGTCATGATTCAAGCACCTTTCTTTAAAAAGTGCTAATTCAGCATTACATCTAAATAATTGTATGTCTATCATAAATGTGGTCTGCAGGAACATAAAAAAAGAAAGAGAATTAGAAGGGAAAGAGGGAGAAAAGGAAGAAGGGAGGGAGAAAGGGAGGGAGGGAGGGAGAGAGGGAAGGGAGAATTTCTTTTAGAAAAAAAAGTTTAAAACAGAAGATTATATGAAAGCAATATCTACCATATAACCATACAATATACAAGGCAGAGCAAAGATTAAGTAAAAAGGACATTTACATAACAAATGAATCTCTTTTATCTCCATGTATGCATAACTGTCTTTACACTTAGATATTTAATTTAATTTAAAGTTCGACTTAGGATATTTTCAACTTACCATGGGTTTATGGTATGTAATCTAATTGTAAATCAAGGCACATCTGTATCTTTGTAGAGCAAGAAGAGCAAGGCCATGGGGAGGACACTGACCATTGACGAGGGTGAGGAGAGAGAATTAGACAGCCCAGAGAACAAGTATCACCTAAGACTTTAAGGAACGAACAGGAGGTTCTTTTTAATTAATTTTAATTTTCTAATAAAATCAAGAAGTTTCTGCTACTGCTCAAAATAAAAATATTCTACTGTAGCCTAATTTCCTTTTTTAATACATACCATAAACACATAAAAGAAACCAAAAACATCATTATTT